ACACAGAAAGGCAAAAATCAGAGTGAACAATTGATTTGGGAATATGAACACACACCAGAGATATACATCAAAGTCAGTTTGGAATTTACATACAAATGGGTGAACTGAAAGCAGTTTTAATAGAGTCCCTGCTTACTGGTTCAATGCACATGGCTATGGCAAATAGCAACAGAGGTAATGCATGAGTTCCCCATTTCTCTCTCTCCCTCACTGAGCAAAACATGTGCGTGCACACACTCAAACTCATTTTTTCTCATCAATTTGATTAAATAAGAGCATAAGAATAGTCATTCTGTCTTATGCTAGTGGTCAATGCCAGGTGCCCCAGAGGGAATGAACAGAACAGGTAATCATTGAGTGATCCATCCCCTGTTGCCCATTCCAAGCTTCTGGCAAACAGAGGTAAGGGACATCATTCCTGCCCATCCTTGCTAATAGCCATTGATATACATGTCCTCCATTAATTTCTCAAGCACTTTTTTTTATCCTGTTTTAGTCTTGGTCTTCACAAAATCCTCTAGCAAGGAGTTCCATAGGTTGACTGTGTGATGTGTAACGTCTTTCCTTTTATTTGTTTTAAACCTGCTACCTATTAATTTCATTTGACCCCAGTCTACACTGGGGCATTATTTCGAAATAACCCCCCTTAGGTTGAATTGATAAGCGGAGTATCCACACTACCAACCCCATTATTTTGAAATAATAGCCCAGTGTCTGACAGTCTGTAACGCTGAAATGCTGACTGTTCCCACTGGGGGGCGCTGTTGCCTGAAATGCTGGCTGTTCCGTCTCGGCGGCCTGTGCTACATGGGGAGTGAGGGGCCCAAATGGCCACTTGCGGGGAGTGGGGGGCCCAAATGGCCACTTGCGCCGCTTGCTCCCCCGCGGCGGCTCGGCTAAGCGGCACAGAAGTCAGTCGAGCACCACGGCAGGAGGCGAAAGGGGGAAGGGCAGTGACATGTGGCGTGACAGCGGCTCCAGGCCCTGCCCCCTGCCCATGAACGTCACTGCTCTATCCCCCTTCACCTCCCACCATGGCGCTCGTCTGACCTCTGCGCGGCTGCTGCGTGGGAGCAAGTGGTGCAAGTGACTGTTTGGGCTTCACACCCTCATGCAGCATGGAGAATGCGGCGCCCAAACGGCCATTTGGGCTCCGCGGTCCCCCGAGTGACAGGCAGGAGGGGGAGGAGAAGAGAAAGAGAGAGACAGAGAGAGAGAGGCAAGAGGCAGAGGAGAACTGAACTAGCCCCCTAAGCCTGGGCCTAACTAGGGTATTATTTCAAAATAATCCCACATAGGTCAAATTTATAAACTGATCATCTAGACTACCAAACCCGTTATATCAAAATAACATTATTCCCCAAGGAGAGCAGGAGTACAGATTTAAAAATAACCAGCCCATTATTTCAAAATAACAGGCTGGTAATTTCAAAATCTGTACTCCTGCTTTCCTTAGGGAATAACGCTAATTTAGAAATAGTTATTTCGAAATAGCATTAGTGTGGATGCTCTGATTCTGCTAATTCAAAATAATTGGCTCTGGAGACCTCGTGCAGCTGCAGCTGTGACTGCTCTGGCTACACTTGGCATCTCCACTGCTCCCCTCCTCCTGCAGAGCTTAAAAGTGCTGGCAGCAGGAGAAGTCCCATGTGGTGAGCTGTGCAAGTTCCATGCCGCACAACAACAACCAAGGCAGCCATGAGCAACCCCGATGCTCCAGCAGACTATCCCACAGCTACAAGCACTCCTGCTGCTCCCTCAGCAGCCATTGGCCAGGGATGCAGGAGAGCTCTGGCCTGTACTGGTGCAAAGATCATGGACCTCACTGAGGTCTGGGGGGGAAGAGGGGAAGGATCTACACACCATGAAGAGGAAAGCAGAAGTCTACGGCTGGATTGACGCCAACCTGGCCAATAAAAGCCACACCCAGACATTTAACCAGCGCTGGAGGAAAATAAAAGCGCTCCAGCAGGCCTACCACAAGGCCAGGAAATAGAGTAGATGCTCTGGGGCAGCACCACAAAGCTGCCACTACTACAAGCAGCTAGATGCCATTCTAGGAGCGGGGGCTGGTCACGTCTCCCATCATTGTCGAGTCTGGCCAAGACGCAATCGGTGTCAGTCTCCAGGAGGGTGGGGTAGCAGAGGAGGAGGAGCAGGAGAAGGAGAAGGAGGAAGCAGCCAGCCAGATGACCTTGCCCACCAGCCAGAACCTGCTCCTCACCCTGGAGGTGGTCCCTCCTCCCAGGATGTCTCCTAAGCTTTGGATAAACCTGGGGAGGGCCCTTCAGGGGACTTCTATAACTTTCTGTATCTGTGCATGGTGGCAAGATGGGCTGCAAGGGGCTATGTGCTATTCTCTTGGCCTACTCAGCCTGGGGACCACACAATAGCCTGTACACATGGAGCACTCAGCCCCATGACACGCTCACACAGGAACCCCTCAATCCCTCTCACAAGGTTCTTGGAGCGGCCTGCCTCTGTGGTGGGCCTCCATGGTGGGATACTTTCCCACGACAAGCCACCACTAAGCAGCCTGGGGTCATGGAACCACTCTGCTGTGCTGCACATAGCACAGGGTCATGCCTGCACTCAGGCAGTATTCACTGCCAGCCAAATGCAGTGATGAGGAGGAGTCTGATCATGTGCATGGGTATCTGCTGGGAGGAGGAACAGGAGGGGAATCCATTAGCACTCCCTCCATCAAGCAGCAAAGCCATCCATAATGTGGTCCACATTCCCCAGAGTGATAACCCTCCATAGCAGCACCTGGTTCATGGTCTTCACTAATTGTATAAGCACGGCCCCGACTGTAGACTTCCCCTCACCAAACTGGTTCCCGACAGAGGGGTAGCTGTCTGGCATGCTGAACTTCTACAAGGTGATGGCCACGCCCTTCTGCATGAGAATGGCAGGTCACAAGTGGGTGTCTTGGCACCTGAGGGCAGGGGCGAGCCACTCAAGGAAGGTGGCCTTCTGCATGTGGAAGTTCTGTAGCCACTCATCCCATAGCTGCAGGGTGCTGTGATCCCACCAGTCCCAAGCTTATCTCCTGCTTCTTGCACAACTATCTCCACAGTGACGGTACCCATCACCTCAGGATGGGATACAGAGATAAAGTTCCCTGAAACCTTGAAGGACTGCTTCTTGGAACAGCTGGTTCTAGAACCCACAAGAGGAGAGGCAGTTCTTGATTTAGTTCTAAGTGGAGCCCACTCTGATCCAAGAGGTGACTATAGCTGGACCGCTTGGAAATAGTGACCATACTATAATTAAATATAACATCCCTGTGGTGAAAAACACAGCAGCCCAACACCAGGGTATTTAATTTCAGAAGGGGAACTACCTCAAAATGAGGAGGTTAAACAGAAATTACAAGATACAGTGACAAAAGTGAAACCCTTGCAAGCTGCATGGAAATTTTTCAAAGACATCATTATGGAGGCTCAATTTAAATGAATACCACAAATTAAAAAACAGTAAAAAACACAGAACAAAAAAAGTGTGGCTTAACAAAAGAAGAAGGAGAAGCAGAAGGAAAAAAAGGAGAAGAAAAAATAATTCTTTAAAAAGAAGTTAAATCTTAGTGAGGAAAATACATAGGAGCATAAACTCTGGTAAATAAAGTGTAAAATATAATTAGGAAGGCCAAAAAGAACTTGAAGAGCAGCTAGCAAAAGACTGTCAAAGTGGTAGCAATTTTTTTAGCGCATCAAGACTGTCAAAGTGGTAGCAATTTTTTTAGCGCGTCAAAAGCAAGAAGCTTGCTAAACAATCAGTGGGGCCATTGGATGATCGGAGGAACCAGATTGCTGGCACTAAAGGAACACTCAAGGACAAAAAGGTCATTGCAAAGAAACCTGGGCCGTTCCTTTTAGCTGACAAATCTGAGAAACTGTCCTAGATTGAGATCTCATTAGAGGATTTGGAACAAATTAATAAATTAAGCAGTAATAAGACCCCAGGACCAGATGGCATTCACCAAAGAGTTCTGAAAGAAACTCACATGTGAAATTGCAGAACTTCTAACTGTGGTTTGTAACCTATGCTTTAAATCAGCTTCTGTAGCAAATGACTGGTGGATAGCAAATGTGGTATCAGTTTTTGAGTCTACACTTCCTTTCATGTATAGTGCCACTTCCCCATGAGCACAACCTGTTCTATCCTTCCGATATATTGTTTACTAGGGTATTACTGTGTCCCATTGATTATTTTCATTCCACCAACTTTCTGTGATGCCTATTATATCAATATCTTCATTTAAGAAGAGGCACTGTAGTTCACCCATTTTACTATTTAGACAGCTAGAATTTGTATACAAACACTTTAAAAACTTGTCTGCCATTACACAATGTGATTGAATGGTACTCTTTTTCATAAGTTCTTACGCATATTTTATCATCTTCCATCCTCTCTTCTTTATAATATACTTTACTAGGTCATAGAGAATATATACCAATAGACCGTCCCCTAAAAAATATCTCTACCCGAGCCATGTGCCCCTCCTCACCTATAGGCTTCACCCAGCCCTTAGTTTAAAAGCTGCTCTATGACATTTTTAATGTTAGGTGCCAGCAATCTGGTTCCATTTTGGTGTAGATGGAGCCCATCCATCTTCTGTAGGCTCTCTCTTACCCAAAAATTTCCACAGCACTTAACACATCTAAACCCATCCTCTATATACCATCATCTTATCCATGCATTGAGACCTTGCAGTTTTTGCCTGTCTACCTGGCCTTGCACATGGAACTGGAAGCATTTCAGAAAATGCTACCATGGAGGTCCTGGATTTCAATCTCTTTCCTAGGAATGGAGTAGAGAAGCATTGCCTAAAATGCCCTGTGTAAAAACAAGGCACAAAAAAAATCACTATAAAGGTTTAAATGAGCATAGTTCCAGAAGAAACTACCATTCCTTTCATAGCACACATAACAAACACTTCAGGGATGCTACAGTTCCCATTTGGGCACTCAAGTCTGAATGCAGTGACAGATACTTACGTGATAGTGTCAATCATATCCAGTCCCATTTCAACACAGCAGTGGGCATGGTCAGTCTTGGGCTGTGTCAATCCTGATACACAATAGTAACAGTCCCCTAGAATTTTAATTCTTCTGCAGTGGTTTTCCTTTAATAAAAACAGACAGGAATAATCCATTAAAAATACTTACAATAGAAATCACATTTCTGAATAAAAAACTTGTTCATATAATGTTTATGTGGTCATCTTAAACAATCTACAATGCAGAAGCCCTGAGGTCTTACTGCTGAACTGTCACTTTTTGTATATCAAATAGGGTAGTCAGTCTAGCATTGTTCAGTTGGGTAGCATTATAATTCCAGATTCCAGTGTAACATTGTGATTATATGGTTTTCAGTAGAGATGCCTCAAATGAAAACACCGTATCTTAAAAGCCACAAACAATGCATACATTTAGACCCAAACATTGCATCTCGACTGTATGTCTATAATAGCTCAAGTCAAAAGTCTGAAACCCAACAACCTGTAAATATTAGGGAAGTTGGATTGAGATTAATATGTGGCTCAAACCCATTTGTAATTTACAAGGCAGGTGTTTTTGTTGTTACAATGGTGGTGGTATTTTTTAAGAGGATGCTCATTACTAGACTGTCTTACCAATATATAAATATGACAGGGCCAACTCATTCTCAATTTAAATGTGTGAACATGACATATGAGTAGAACAGAAGATGCAGTCATGGTATTGAATTTGTCACATATTTACATGGGTTAGCAAGTTCTTCAGTAGCAAGTGTATGACTAAATCTCCCATGATTTGAAGAAGAAATGATGGGTGATGATGACAACTGTTTTATTCTCAGTAGCACCTTCACCACTTGCAAACTAGAAGACTGCTTAGTAATAATTCAGCATCAGTGGGATTGAGTTGCTTGCCAGATATTTGCAAGGATGGAATTCCCTTCACCAGCCAGATGTGAGAAGCATGCACAGAATGCAAGGACTTTCCTCTCACTCCCTTAGCATCCGGGGAATGGGATGAAAAGCTAGCCATGTCCCAGAATGCACAGCACTCAAAATTCCACCCCTTGGACTCTTGTCCAAAATCCTGACATAAAAGGTGTTTTCCAGTGATCCAATATACTGCTGCCAGCTAGGACTTCACCCATGGAACTAGAAATTGTTGCTTATTTGCAACAGTGATTCTGTTGAGTGGTGAAAGGTAACAAGAAATTGGAAATCAGGAAATTTGTTAGATGTAGCTGATTCTGTTGAGTGGTGAAAGGTAACAACAAATTGGAAATCAGGAAATTCATTGGTACAGGATATGGAAAATTACAATATAGTCCTCACCAATAATCCAGAGCAATGTAGGTGGGACTGTTTTCTGCAACCTCCTGGTCAGTGTCTAGCAATACCACACATGGATGGTGGATAATGTAGGCAAGGGAGGGGTTGGGGCTACACCATGTGGCAGTCTGTTTACCTGGCAGCCAGGAAAGACTAGGGGCACATAGCGAGGTTGCCCCAGCCCTCAACTGGGATTGGATGGGGCTTGGCTGGGCAGCGGGGAAGGGGGAAATGAAAGGGCATGGTGTCAAGGGGAAGGGGTGTGGCTTCATGTAGAAGGGGTAGGAACTTGGCTTGCTTTCCCCAGCTGGACCTTCAATCACAGCCCATGATACCACAGTTATATAAGAAAAGACTAGGGTATGTGATGGTATCCATTGCAACAAGGATTGCACAAAACCCCTGGCCAGAGTGGTGACACAGAGTAATTAAATAAACCAGATTAAAGGATGCCACTGTTATGGCTGGGACAATGAAGGCACATGTCTCATGGGGTTATTAAGTGTCAATACGATGTGAAAAGATTAAAATTATCCTCTCCTCCTAAATCCACAGTCTGACTGAGAAAATGGAAGGCTCAGTGATTTGATCACACTTCCCCACAGGTAGATCTACACTTACTGGCGCATAGAGAACTACAGGTCTATAAAAAGCCATGTACACAGCTTAGGAAAGTAGAACAGAGTATAAGTATACCCTACATGATTCTCTGCATGCCCAAGCAGTGCATCCCACATCTACACTGATATATTTGGCTATTTAAGTGACCCACATACTCCTCACTACCCGAGCCTTCTCTGCTGCCGGAGTCTTTTCCTACTGTTTCCCCAAGAGCAGGATCCTTTCCCTGCTATGTGTAATTACATGCCACAGCGTGGAGGCAACTTGCTTATGCCATGAAAAGCGTAGGTAACTGTAGACCAGGGGTCAGCAACCTATGGCACGTGAGCCGATTTTCCCTGGCATGCGAACATCCTGAAAAACCCATCAGACATTTCACTACTTGTGGGGAAGAAGCGACCAAGAAACAGCTCTGTGCACTGTCATTGCTCCTTGTTGCTGCACAGCAACCCTCTTCCCCCCCACCCCGCAGAGCATGTAGGCAGTTCCACTGGAGCTTTGCTCGCAGGCTGCCAGGCTGGCTTCTGGTGGCATGCATTTTCTGGACATTGCCACTCACTGCCACACCACCGTGCTGCGTGGCCCTTTCCCTCCCTCCGTGGGACTGCATCTGGTGTGTGGGGCTCCCAGTTTGGCCATGCCACCTTCTTCTACTCCAGTGGCCACTGCAGCTGCTGCTGGGGGGCAGAGGTGGGTAGCTCCAAGGTAAAACCCAGCAGAGCTGCTCCCAGTCCTCTGCACCTTGGAGTTGCCAGCAAGTAGAGACCTGTGCTGAGATGGTGCAGTTGCCCAAGGGCTTTTTACAGCAGCAGCTTCAAGATAGTGGCCTAGATCTACGTATCTAAATTCGCTGAGCTGCCGCAGCCCAAGAAAGGCCTCTTCCTGTGCTGGGGGGACATACTAGCCAGTGATGGCTGCATGGCTGAGGCCCTGGAGGCCTATAGAGCCGCTGGCTCACCTGTGGCCTGAGGATCTGTGGGAGCTGACTGAGTGCCTAGCGCTCATCCTGCACGAGAAGGCACTGCCAATGGGAGTGCTCGGGGCAGTGCTTGGGAGCAAAGGGGGCATGAAGCCAGGTAAGTGCCTCTCCTCATGCCCAGAGTCTTGCATCCCAATCCCCTTCACTCACCTCCTATCCGCCTCCCAAGACCCCGCACCCCCAGCTTGCTCCTAAACCCTCCCTTGCTGCTGCACCTTCTCTCTTGGCCAGACACCCTACTCCCAGCCTTCTTCGGCATCCTACCTCCCACCCAGACTTTGCACTCTCAACCCTTCCTACACTCCACCTCGCACCCAGATCCTGCACCCCTATCACTATCCCACTCGCTGGCAGCCCTGTCCTGCACAGTGAACCCATCATTTTTGTCCCCACCCCAGAACATAAGAGGTCCACAAAATCCACTAACTCTGGATTTTGAAAAGTAAATCTGGCCTATGGGAAGCCCTGGACCTTAGTCCTCCCTGTCCCGTCCCCTCACCCTGTGGAGCTGGTGTGCCAGAGGAGTGAGGTGTTTCTGTTGGGGACCACATCAGTGAGGGTTGGGAGTTTTTTTGCTTCTCACTTGTGTGGTCCCCAACTGATTTTTCTGTGGGTCAGTGTCTCATAGACTCATAGACTTTAAGGTCAGAAGGGACCATTATGATCATCTAGTCTGACCCCCTGCACAATGCAGGCCACAGAATCTCAAGCACCCACTGCTAGAATAATCCTCTCACCTAAGAAAGGTTCTCCACTCCTGCCATAAAATAAAGAAAACATTGAAACCTTTTGTGTTGAACAGAAATTGATATTTTACTTTATTTAAAATGAAGTTTGATAAACTGACATGAGAAAGTTAAAATGCTTAATCTGTTTAATAATTTAAATTCTCCCTAGCTGCAGCATTAGCAAAATGGCTCAGGTGTAATTATGTAATTAACGGTAAGTTTCCATTAGCAACTGGTGGTCTGTAGAAAGGTGTGCATTGACCCAGGTGGTCCACAGTGGAGAGAGCCCATCCCCGCCTCCTGGGAGAGTGGCATGGCCCAGGGCAAGAGGATTAAATCTTGGCACACCTCTTTGAAAAGGTTGCCAACCCCTGCTGTAGACCAAATTACAATGACACCGATCCCATCCGGGAACAGAAGCAATAGCACATAACTCACTCCCATCACCACACATACTTGTAACAACAAAGAGCAAATAACTTTGTAACAATATTAAGATTCTAAGAATTGTTGGCTGTGTTTCCATAAAAATGCCTAGTGAACAAGTGTGTACTTACATACACATATATAATAGAAAATGTACCTTGGGTTTGTTACTTAAATAAGTTTTGTTTTACTCCATTTAAACAATTGTTCTGTGGGTGGGCTGGGGATGAGGGGTTCAGTATTCAGGCTTCCCTGGGGGAAAGAGGACAACTTTAGCTCTCTCTCACCACGGCAGTTTGGACCCAGGTGAGAAGGGCCAGGCCACTGCAGCTGCAGCTGTAGCAGGCACAGTCGGAGGAGAGATGCATGTCCCCCAGCTAGGGGACAAACAGCTAGACCACAGACTAACTCTTTAAAATATATAGTAGACAGTTATCCCTTTCTTCACCCCTTCTGTCCCAGTAGGTTATAGCTGTCTCAGTCCCCATTTCTTGCCGCTTTCTGTCCTCTTCCCCCGTCATTCTGTAGTATATCTATTCTTCTTGCCCTTCCCACCCTTTCCATTTTATGAGAAACAATAGCATTCCAGGCACATCCCATTATCCTGGCAAAACCAAACCCTGACCTTGCTTTAAGTTATGATATGAGGAAGCTGCAGACCAAATGTGGTGGTCCTAACTCTTACCGTTTAGGAGTTCCTGAACAAATGGACTCACAGATGGACAGACAGACAGACGCACATTTCTAAAACATAGTAAGATAAATTATGTACAGAGCATATAAAGTATATGCATATATAAAATCAACATCTGTCCTTGATCAGAAAAGAGAGTGAATTCTATAAAATGAATGGTGAGTGCTTTGCTCAAATCCTTTTCACAGAGCATCAATTAAGAAAGCAGGTCACTCTTTCAATGTTCTAACACAGTGTTTCTCAACCTTTTCTTTTTTATAAAGTACCCCTTTTTAAAAATATATATAAGTACCCCCAGTAATCCCAGTTTTCAGACACACACATTTTTTTTCTACCATTGCAACACATT